ATCGTTCTACTTATTTATCGTGATCCGTATACTTGTAAAACACTTGAAACCTTGTTTTGAGAAGTCAGTATTTTCCTGAAATATGTAATAAGTTCGTATTTTACAAAATAATTTGTTAAAGTTCGTATTTTACAAAAATACGAAATTCATTATTCTAGCAAATACGAATTCTGTATATAAAAACAGAAAATCGGGATGAACTTCTTAATAACCCAATTTCCTTGAGACGAATGAAACAATCAGATCTGACATTTGTCAGAATAACAAGAAAAAGTTTAGCTTTAAACCGATTGAAAACATATCCCGCATTTATTGTCATGTTAATTGAATACTGATCTCATTGGTCAGTGAAAAGAAGATTTAATATCTCGACAGATTTTCGACAGTGTTCGTAGCATGTACAACCAAAATCGACATTTTAACTTGAAATGTCTCGTTATTTGTATAAAGTTTTGCAACACAATACAACACTCATTTGTGTGGTATCCTGGCTCTGTACCAATCGATTCCCTATATACTAAGAAAAGATCAGGATCAGGATCAAGTGATTCTGATTTTTTTTATTGTTTCAAAAATTCTATCGTGGTTTGCTAGAATTAAAAGGTAACTATTCAAAATGTAAAACATTGCTAATTTGCAAAGGAACCAAAACCTTTTTTTAGATAAATAAAAAATTACAAAACAAAAACAGAAATATTCGGATCAATGCTAGGATCAGGACCAATATTTGGATTAACTTTAAAATGCCTGTATCTTGCAAAAAATAAACAATAATTTTATTCTAAAAGTTCATAACCTTGCTATTTCAAGTCTAGTTTTGTCAAATTTATATAAGATATTTAATCTTTAAGGATTAATAATTCAGAATATTAGACTCTTTAAATTTTAACCTAATCCTGATCTGAACATTGGGCCTGAACATCAGAAGAATCTTTATTGGTCAATAAAAACTGAAATCTGAAAAAGTTCTATAATAAAATGTAAAAGACAATTGTAGCCCATATGATATAAGAAGTAAAAGACAGTTCTTGCCCACATTAAAAAAATGTTAGGGATAGTTCTTAAATGAAATGTACATGATAGTTCTTTGCTTTTTAGTTTAACTTTTGAGATATTTAAGTTTTGTTTCAACATACTTCCCACATAACATTTTATACTGCGATTAAAATTACAATTTCTAGTGAACAGTTTTTTGACATAAGGACGTATTCATTTTTTTTACACTAGAATTTACTGAGTTATAAATTTTGTCAAATATAGCTATACCACCAATAACTTTCACACTCCTATTTGTTTAATCATGAAGATGAAAATATTGGGAAACACACCTGTCAGGTATCCTTCATTTATGATGTTCAATAAAAGTCCGATATATAATAGTCCTTCTCCCATATTTTAAATAATTAAACAGAGATGTATTATTATCATTATCATGTATTACTCTGTCATGTCATATATAGTATGTTTGTAATATGTTGTCCTCATGGGCTTATTAGCCTATTAGAATATGAAATAAATAAATTCAATATATTATAATGATGCTCGTTGATGTGTTTAATTGGTTTATTGTTTATAGTTTGCATATATTTTTGCATATTGATCAAGTATTTCTAAATAAAATTGCCTACCGACTGCGTAGAGTTGGTGATAGAAATTTAGTTAACATACCAAAACACGACCGACTCATTTTGAAACACATACATCTTACAATAATCCATTGTTTAAGATAAATAACCCAGTTATTTTTCTGTCAAAGAAATAAAGAAATAAGTATCGACAACTTAGAAATTAAATATACAAGTTAACCAGGTTTACTTCGGACGAGTATCTTTCTTAAAGATACTTCTTGTTTATGTTGCATTTATGGCGAATATAATCAATTTATATTTAACACTATTATTTAATAGATATACAGTGCTCAGATGTGATATCAGGAAATGTCCAATGCATAGTTAAATCTCATTATTAATAACATCAAATTAGACAATATCAAGTAAAGGATTTCATCAGGTGCTACAAATGTCTTTGATTAAATGTATTTACCAGAGATAATGAGCAAATCCAGCATATCTTAATAAAACATGATTATTAAGCCAACGAAGAGGAAATGTATATATAGATGGTTTATTACTTGTAGAACCAAGAGGGCGTGACTAACATCTTAGATCTATAAGCCCAGTAAGGGAAAAACGTTAAAATCATTGACTGTTGATCAACGTTAGGATAAATAAAAAGATTTAATCTTTTAAGCGAATATTTCAATTTTGTCAATAATTCGCGTTGTTGTTTTGCATTACCTAATTGCTGCAAAAGTTTATGATAACCATATAAATTGAAATAAATTCAATATCACTTATAGTAAATCAGCTCGTAGTGTGGGTTATATAGCTTTGCCGAATTTCCTGTGGCCTACTATAAATTAAATGATTCTGTAAGGTTTATGAAGTTAACACACGAAGTGTTTTTTTTATGGGATTTCGTTACAGGATACTTAATTATCGATTAATGTTACTATACGTATGAGAAAGGTTGCATCGCATATGTGCTTTGACTCTAAATTGTAATTCGTTATTTGTTGCAGCGCACAATATCGATCAGTTTTTAAGAATTTGCAAAAAGTCTAAATATCTAAAAATTTTAATTCTTGTTGTGCGCTGACATTAAGACGCATAATTATACAGTTGGACATATGGCACTGACTACTAAATGATTCAGATTATTTTGTTTTCGCGCCTAATATGGATATATTTAATAAGGATTAACACAGCAGTGCTTTCTAAAATTGAACTATATGTACTTTGTTAGAAGCCACACGCGCATATTAAAAAAGTCATTGCAGTGCTTACCTAAGCTATAATTCATTTGTGAGGCGCATATTTAACAGTTACATTGTTGTGATGATCTAAGATTTAATTCTTCTGTTTGCGCAGCGCATATTTAAAGGTTACACGGAGCAGTGTTGATTTGAAAATGTAATGTATCTTATTAGTCTTGCGCTGCGACATGTAAAAAATGTGACCCAGCAAGATTTCTGGAATTAAGCTTGTACCATTTCATTTGTAATTCGCAGGCTGCATTTATTTAAACAAGTTACTATTAAACAGCATGGTGCCGATCTAAACTGGTTGTCTGTTCTTTGTTAGCGCAGCGTAATTTAAAAGTTACACCCGCAATTTCTAAAGCTAAGCTGTTGCAACAGCGTACGCGGTAGTCCGGTCAACCGAACGTTTTGATTGTTCAAGTGTTTTCAATTATAATTTACATTCTGTTTTCCAAATGGCTTTTATCGACAATCATGTGTCCATGGCGTTAAGTTGATGAATAAACAGAAACAAGAAGAATAAATTGGCTGGCTCTTGCTTAAAGAGTAAACTTGCTTTCACGGGTAAAGTGTGAAACTCAAACATAGTCCTATTTCGAGGTATGTGCTAATGGTCGTCGAAAATATTCTCTTATTGAGTCGCTCTCTTTGAGCCGTGGAACGGAAAGTTTATCTTTCTATCTTAAATATGTTTTTAGGACAATTATGTTTTTTAGAATAATGCTCCAGATCAGCTAAATACATAAATTGTCGATGTCTATAACGCATGTGTATAATTTAAATTTCGTTACAAACATTATGCAAGAGATTGGGATAAAAGCCAACTGGTCCGAAACGTTTGAGACGGTGATCCCCTATTATAGTATCATTTGGACAGATTGTACTATCCAGAGGATGTTTATTGAACAAACAACAAAATTGCATTCAGGAATTATTTTGTGCGCCACATTAAAGTCGAAAAATGTGGTTAAACAGAACTTGAAATTGTCAAATAAATTTTACATCAGCAACAAAAAAAAATGATTTACCTTAAATAAGGTTAATGTTAAGATAATATGTTAGTCGGTAGCGTTGTAAAACCCGTCAAAGTTGTCAAGTTTACGCAACGACGTCATGTTTTAAAAACAGATATGGTGGTCAACTTTGACATTCAGCGTACACAACATGACGGAAAATAACATAAACGTAACATTGCAATTTAACCGAATAAGGTCTTAAAAAGGAATCATCACCTGTCAGGCAAGTACGCGCTTATATTTATTACTCTTCAATTGAAACATATATAAGAAGACGCTTTCAGCCTGTTAATTTTTAATGTTTTATTCTCATTTTCAGAACAAAGTGACTGTCTCTCACTTTTTGAAATAGGATCGACAGAAGATGGTTTATATACAATACAACCCCTCATAGGTTTAAACATACAAACATGGTGCGATATGAAAAATGGTGGATGGACAGTTATACAACGTCGACTGGATGGGTCAGAAAACTTCTACAAAACATGAGCGGATTATGTTTGTGGATTCGGTAACAGATCAGGAGAGTACTGGCTTGGCCTTGAGAATATATATCGGCTTACTACGATAAACAGTTCTTTGAGAATTGAAATGGACGCATTTGAAGACGTATCACATACACATGCCTATGCACAGTATGACACGTTCAAAGTTGGCGGCGAAGATTCAAATTTTAGATTGCATGTAAATGGTTTCTCCGGAAACTGCGGTGATAGTCTAAGTTTACATGATGGAAATATGTTCTCGACTAAAGATAGGGATAACGACGTATGGCCGTACATCTGCGCTCAAATATTCAAAGGAGCATGGTGGTATGAAGCTTGTCATCATAGCAATTTGAATGGATTGTCCTTATCGGGGAATCACTCTCCGTTCGCTAATGGTATAAACTGGCACTCGTGTTGGGTTCATCATTATTCTATTCGCCTTGTAGTGATGAAGGTAAACAGAAATTTTCTGTAACAGCAAAACGACGGCAAATACGATTTTGTACTAAAATATAAACATAAATATTAAGATACCGTACTGGAAAGAAAACACAAACATCTAAACATTATTTAAGGATTAAAAATAAAGTGATATGGTGCAATACGTCACGGCACGAAAATGCCGATTATATTGGATATCATTTTAAGTGCATCATATTGTGTATAGGATATCGACCGAGTACGAGGTCTTTCTGTCTAGGAAAGACCTGGTCACGAATTTCATGTGACACCGAGAGCGCGTAGCGCTCGAGGTGTTTCATGAAATTCGTGACCAGGTCTTTCCTAGACAGAAAGATCGATGTACGAGGCCGATATCCGACTTACACACCGTCAAACTACGGTCCAAAACACACGTGTAAATTTACCATGGCCGAAGCGTATGACTCGGACGACATTTTGTCCCAAGCTCTGGATATATTTGAGGAGCAGAATGCCAACTCGATTTTCTTAACACAGAATACTTTTAGGTAAGTGTACATTTTAATCAGATTATACTTTGACAGATAATGATAAAACACAATACAAACATTTATCCTTTCAATGTGACCCTGATGATTTCTCGTTTGAAATTCTATGCGGATACACTATACTATGTTTTCCAATACATTTACAGTTATATCCAGTTATAAAGCATTTTGAAAAAAAAGATATAGAAAGTCTGAGTAGCGCTGATAACGCGTTTATCTACAGGAATAATAATAAAATTAAAAATGCAATATACCGCAATATTTCGCCACAATCTTAATCTACGGTAGAGGTTACAAGATATTGATACATAACACAGTTTGCATTTGTTTTTTATTTTGCTATCATTTGTTTAGCACACACACAATGTTTAAATTTGTTTACTATTTATGTGATGAAACAAATTATACCATCAGTTACAATCAGAGAAAATTATATATAATGATGATAAAATAATTATAATGATGATGGTTATGATGACTATGATGATAATGTTGTTGTTGTTTTTTTGATGATGTGATGATGATTTTATTATTTGTTGATAATGATTGGTAATGATAATGGTGTTGTTGTTCTTGATGACGATGATGATGATGATGATGACGATGATGATGATGATGATGATGATGCATTTTATAAATACTTACTAATATCACTCTTTATATTGGATTATCTTACTCCATTTTATATTAACTTGAACTTTCAATTTTAGAGCGTCTGTTTCGAAGAAACAGCTGAGCTAAATTAGGATCACTGCGGCATCGTCGTCGGGCAAAAACACTTCATGTAAAACATTTTAAAAGTTATCAACATGTCACTTAATATACTTGCTTATCATGATGACATGGTCCAATTGTTAGTCAAGGGTCGTCATTTTGAAAATAATATTTGTAAGTGAAAAGTATTTCCTCTTTCCCTAAATAATAAATTATTTTCCAACAATATTGACCTGGCACTTAATTAACTTTCGTAAAGGTCATTTGAATAAACACTGACCAGTATCTATCGAATATATCAATATATTTGCTTACTTTACTCGTCAGTGAGGTGTGCTGGAAGGTCTCTGGTTCGATTCTTAACCAACTACACTTTATGATTTTTTTTTTAATTTACTTGCAAGAATTAATTTGAAATCGATATACGACACCTTAGAATACCCTTTGAGTGGTGTTTTTTATACACAAATACATTTTTTTTTATTTCACTAAGGTATCTTTCAACGGTTCTCTTTGTGGCATTATGCAATATTATACGCTTTAAAAAGCGCATATACGCTATAAAGGCAGCTATTTAAAGAAAAAAAATACACATATAGTACAAACAACAAAAATGTATGCAATAGTTTTAAGAGATTTAAAAGTAAAAAAAATCGCCGAAATAGGATTCAAACCTACCAGTGTACGTCTACATTTCTTAAATGAAACCCCTTTAACAACTGCACTATGAGGGATTTTTTATTTACACAGTTTTATTAATTATAGATATTTACATTCATATCGATCTACAATTTACGGAATGTACCAACTACAGGGTCAAGAGTGCCATGTCAATGTTGTTGGACAATAACAAAGTAACATAAATAAAGCACGCAGTCCTCTTGTTTATATTCTTTTTTGAGCAAAACGATATGTTTTCATAACCAAAAAAGTACATATATGTTTAATTCATTTTAAAGGGATATACCTGAAGAAGACAAAGAGAATATTTTTTCGATTTTGGAGACGGCAGTAAATGTTTCGGATATGTTGGATGATGGCGGTGCGTCGGAAATTGGAGCTGAAAGATGTGTCCGTCAAAATAAACGGGAGCTGGAAGATACTATTTCTTTACATGAACAAGAATCATTTAAAGATTATAAAGGTAACTAAAGCTAAATTTATACAAATTCAAATTCAAACTGGGCCTATCTAAATGTTGCGAGGTTAAAGTCGCCATGCTCATATACACTTAAATTATTGCTAACTTAAAAATATATTCACAAACTCACGATATATAGCCAGGGTCTTGCGTCATGACCGTATATCCCTCACTAGCTTAGCAAATAAATGAGCCGCGTCACGACAAAAGCAATTAAAGTGGTTAATACATAATGGGTTTGCTTTTTTTTTTTTTTAATATTTTTAATTTTTTTTTTTTAAAAATTTTTTATTTTTTTTTTTTTTTTTTTTTTTTTTTTCTTTTTTTTTTTTAAAAAAAATTATAATTTTTTTTTTTTTATTGTGTGTTACCAGCATGGATCAGTTTGCGAGCATGGATCCAGACCAGCTTGCGCATCCGCGCAGTCTGATCAGGATCCATACTGTTCACTTACCAAGTCTATAACAAGTAGAGAAACTGATAGCGAACAGCATGGATCCTGATCAGACTGCGCGGATGCGCAGGCTGGTCTGGATCCATGCTGGTCGCAAACCCACTATGTTGGTTTTGTCGTGACGCGGCTCAAATTTGTTGTCATTCTTGCGAGTTTCCTTCATGATTTTAGGAACAATTGCTATGAGGAATATCACAATAACGTTTGAATTACAGAATTCCGCAAAATATCATAAGTTTTCTTTGTTATCATATTTTATCAAATACCTGTGTCGCTTTTGGCACTGCACATATTTCATATATTTGGACGTGACGTTATTTGTGTAATACGCCACATGTTACACTATTTGCGCGTCAATGAAAAAGATATCTTTCACTTTAAACAGCCTTTTCTTTCAAATTGGATATGTGATAAATATGGTATTATATTCGTGTAAGTTCATTGCTAAATTTATTCAAGTCGTTCAATAAATTCAGTATTTAACTAACACTTATTCAGTTTGGTCTATTTATGTATCATCAACTCTCATCGATGTATGAAAAACGACAAAATTATCAAATGCTGAATAATGTGTCGTAACAATGACTGTATGGTCTCTTGCGAGTAACTATCGTGATTGTAAAACAAGTGTTTATAGTTAATTGACTTACATTGTCTGTATTTTAATAGTAAAAAAATTATACCCCCTTTCTAGAAAAAATATTTCTGTATGGTACTGTATCCACTGTTGAAAGCTACCTTCAGCTTCTCTAAAGGTTGAATATGTTTTGTTTTGTTACCTAAATCGTTTTAATAATTGTTAGATAAAAATAAAATAAGCTGGAACTAGAAATTTGCCTACGATAAAATACATTAACAGAAAAAAAGCCCCTCGACACCTTTAACATACCAGTCTGCTGTCAATATAACAGTAAGTTAAGCGGACGATTTTTTTTTCCAAAATGCGAAAACACGACAGAACAATGGCGAAAATACCACACATAAAATCTGTCATATTTTCTGCCGTACTTTCGCTTTTTCGCTATCAAAGAACAAATTTTTTTTTATAACATTGTCGTCTCTTCGCATTTTTGCTTTTTTGCATTGTTGCATTTTCGCTTTCTCACATTGTCACATTTTCGCATTGCTGCATTTTCGCAATGTTACATTTTCGCTGTCTTACATATTGTACATTTTGTTAAACATTGTCAAAAAATAAGAACAAATAACAGTGTCTATAGTTGAAAAAAAAATTGTAAAAGTACAATAGTGCGAAAAAGCGAAAACACAAGACGAAAATCTCAAAATGCAATAAAACGAAAAATTGAAAATCCAACAGATGATATGCAAATAGAAGATAGATTTTACGTGCCCTATTTTCGCCCTTCTTTTGCCGTTTTTTCTCTTTTTCGCCTCGAAAATCCGACAAAGCGAAAACACAAAGAGATTATCATCCATTAGTGTTTTCGAATTTCCGCATTTTGGAGGCAAAGAAGCGAAAACACGACATGGCGTATATCATGCAGTCACCATGAAAATTAAAATAATCTGTTAAAATAAATCCCGTAAACAGTGAAAGGTCTTACTACATGTATTTATAGAACAAGAAAATGCTTCTTGTATTTACAGATGACTCAACAAGATTCAGGTGTGTAGCCAAAGAACATGTGAATCATATGTCCAAACCCCAAATACCGCCAAACACTTTAAGGAAGACCACTTGGGCGCTAAACATGTACAAAGACTGGGCTGCATATGTGTTACGTCTACGGGAAGACGATGAATTAGTCAACATTTTGGAAGCAGAGCAGGATATGACAAAGCTGTCAAATGAACATTTAAACACTGCCTTGTGCAGTTTTATTTTGTCTCTTAGAAAAAAAAATGGCAGTGAATATACAAGTGGTAGTTTGTTTTCAGTAGTTACAAGTCTTCAAAAACACCTTGAAATCAATGGCCGCCTGGTTTCTTTTTTGAATGATCCACAATTTAATGATCTCAAAACATGTCTTGACAATTCTATGCAAAACGTTACTAAGCAAGGGGTGGGGTTGATAAAAAAACAAGCTGCGGCAATTACGAAAGAGCAGGAAAACGCTTTATGGGAACAGGGAATTTTGGGTAACGAAAACCCTCAAAGCCTGCTTTACACTATATTTTGGACAATTGGGGTTAACTTTGGGTTACGCGGTGGGGATGAACACCGAAATTTGACCGTAGAAAATTTCAAAATTTTACAAGATCAGGATGAAGTGTTCTATCTAGAGTACAGTGAAAGCGTGTCTAAAACCTATAAGGGTGGTATCAAGCATCGCAAGATTGATCCACACAAAGCTAGGGCTTATGAAATAAAGGGGAGTAAACGTTGTCCAGTTACGCTATTTCAGCAGTATCTTTCAAAGCTTAACCCAAACTATTCTCATTCTGCCTTTTATTTCAACCCACTTGTAAAACCCATGGACGATGTTTGGTATTCTCTTACTCCTGTTGGCCATAATAAATTGAAGGATTTTGTTAAAACAATTATGAAAACTGCAGGCTTTGAGGGATATTTCACTAATCATTCATTGAGGGCTACCACAGCTACACGCCTATTCCAGGAAAACATTCCTGAGCAGTTAATCATGGAGCAAACAGGGCATAGAAGTAATGCCGTGTTTAGCTACAAGCGCTCAAGTGATCAACAAAAGCGCTTAGTCTCTAATGTATTGCAAGGGTCAGATATAGCAAAAACAAGCACGACTGTTGCCGAACAAACAAGTAAACAAAATGTTTTTAACGTGTCAAACTCGGAGATACATATTCATATGCAACTTTAAACGATTGTAATGGTGCATTATAGGTCGATGTAAAAAAAATTAAAGCTGCATGCTTCCAGATGAGACGAAATATATCAAGAAATCAAAATTGAGAAAAAATTGCTAAGATTTTGTAAAAAGAATAAAGTTTCAAGTAATAATTTGCATGTTATGTGCGATTAATGACTAATTTTTCTGCATTCACCATCATATTTCTACTGCATGACTAATGCGATAAAGGCTTATTTTGTAAATTTTGACTTTATTTAGTAATTTAGGTGGTTTGTAATTTTGTGAGTGCCGTTTTTTATTTGTTAATTACCTATTTTGTTCACTTCGCAAAATTCTAAAATTTTCACGAAAAAAAGTATGAATCTGGAGGGATCTGCTTAAAAATGTTTGGGATTTGAACAAAATGATATCTAAACACGTTGTCCAAAGAAACTTTGAAAAAAAAAGAAAATTCATTTATTTTACGAACTTTCTTGTCGACACATTTAAAATAGAAATGTACATGTACATGTACTTAACTGTTTTCATGCAGTTATAATTACGCATGCCATTGTTTAGTAATTGCATGTGCTTGCATGTAAATGAATGATGGACATTTACTGTACTTCTGATTATACTCTATTTAAAATGTAATTTATAACACGTAAGCGGAAAATCCTGCATTTAATAAAGTAATGTATCTAGTGAGTTCTGACAAAAAAAAGACATTTAGAAAAGACGCTAAATGTAATTGTTCCATATTTTCAATCCAGACTGACGAATACATTCTCTGTTGCTTAACTTATAAGTTTTTTATAGGGAATATTCAATTTCAAGTCTGGCCCAAGTATTTAACAGAATAACTCCGTTTTAAATAAAGATGTAGAACGGCACTGTGGTTTTGTCTACTGAATTTCGAGAGCGATTATGGATAATGTATTAAATATGTGAACTTTGCCGAAAAAAAACCCATGATTCTGTAAATGTATTCTTAAAACAATTGGATATTAAAAATCAAACATGTCTTTTTGTATTCTTTATTTTTCCTTGAAAGACTGAAATATGATTTTTCAGAAAAATCTTATAGGAACGTTGGAAAATTGCTTTACAACAATATCATGACCTCTGTTAAAATCTTTTTTCGTATTATTTATTCATTTTTGTGCCCTCTTATTTTTTCATTCATTTGCAATTTTACAGTTTTCTTTGTTTGCAGGCAGGTTTGTTTTTGCACGTGTTTCACATGCCCGGGTCTTTCTTTCAAGACCAGACCTGTGCACGTGCAAAAATAGACCTGTTCACGGGATTTCTTTTGTTTAAACAGGTCTATCCGAAAAATATAGACCTGTGACAAACAATAGAGGAGGTGTGTAAGTACTAATACTGACGACTAAAGTTTCTTTATTCGCTTTTCTCTATTTGATTTATTTCAGCTACGAGAAAGCCTGAGCTGAAAATAATAAACATCTTTCGACAAGTCGTCATTTAAGAAAATTCGTCATTCAATCAATCATTATGGTGTAAACTGCAGGACTAAAATTAACCTTCCTCAGGTGATCAAATAAACAGATATTGTATGCAGTTTCTTAAAAATAGACATTATATACATTACAGACATCACAAATTTACCTTAAAAATTTAACCAAGCTATATGTTAATTGTATGCATGTGAACTTCCAATGTAAGTTAGTTTGTGTTCGTATTTTAATATGCTTCTAAGAATAAGGTTTGGAATAGTATATTTATAGTAGTAATAATAATAATAATATTCGTGTACCTGCGTTTAACAAATTACTTCAAATGCATATGAGATGTATCTTTGAAACAAATATTGTATATATTTGCCTATTATCCTGAATATCTTGAAAAATATAAATAGATAGGTATCATTTACTATCAATTGGTATTGTTCTCAGGTTAAACACAGAATGTGTATAGTCATTTGCTGCTTCATAATTTATATAGAAATCAATACCTAACAGAATTATTAACAAAGTAACAATACCCCTGGAATATAATGGATTAGGATCATAAGCATGCTACACTTTTCATGTGTATCTCTTTTTTATTTCAGAATGTAGCAATTAATTTTTTATAGAAAAGTGATAAACAAAAACATCTGAAAATAAGACGTATTGACAAGTGTTTTTAAGATTCTGGAAAAAATGTATGCTTGTAGAGTTGTATGTTTTTATCTGTTATATTATTTCATATATTTCATAATAGACACCCAAGAAGAAAATTTAATAATTGTTTATAATCATGGACTTGAAACAAGATCGTGCTTTACATCTATAACCGATGTGAGTTATACACAGTGTTTAGATTATTTCCGAAATAACAATACTTACATCAATGCTGTAGTTTACAGAAGAAGATTTCATCTGTGTGATATGTATTCTGTGTCTGGAAAGTTTGCTTATAAAAAGGAGCCTGGGTCAATGCTCGCACATCGCCCTATAATTGGTAAGTTGAGCAAAGTATAAACTGTCACATTAAGAAAGGGTAACAAACAATCTTACTCTTATAACCCTACTTCACATGTATGTTTAAATGTGTGCATTAAAATATTAAATTTAGATATCTTAATATTAAAAGTAAGAAAATGTATGGAAAAGTGGTGATCCCTCGGAAGAAACAAAATTAAGTGAAAATTAGATATGAAAAAGAATAAGTTTAGTAATAATAATAATAATAATGAGGATGATAATGATGATAATTGCCCACTGAATGCCGTTTTATTACAATACGTCGCTACGTTTCCCTGGCAATTGTTATAGGTACAACAACCCTTCAAGCTAACAATTTATCTTAAACTCAACATTATTTGACGGATATTGTTTGTTCATCATCCTGATATATAACTTATCGATTTACGTCGGCACATACAGAAAGAAATTGTAATTTTTGTGTCAAATTTGTCTTTTAGTTCAGCTACATTTATTTTTGGATTCAAAGTAGGTTTTAAACGAAAATCCTGAAATGAAATTAAGAATGTTTTGTTATTCTATAAATTTTCTTTTAAATGTTTACTCACTTAAATTGACACAACAATGCTTGTCATTGACTCAACTATTTCGGTAAACGTGATTTTACCATCCCTTTTTCGGTAGTTGTCATGCTTTTTCATCAGTGAAAAGCTTAAGGTCGCTCTGAGTAAACGGCATCCACTAAACGACTACTAAGAAAACTATACGGATATACCGAAGTGTTGTGAATTCAATATAATTTGTAAATACATGTATGTGGTTAAATAAATGGTAATTTGCAAGTACAATGATGGACTGGACCGAATCTTATGCAATCGTTCTACTTATTTACCGTGATCCGTATACTTGTAATACACTTGAAACCTTGTTTTGAGAAGTCAGTTTTTTCCTGAAATATTTAATTTTTGTATAAGTTCGTATTTTACAAAAATACGAAATTCATTATTCTGGCAAATACTAATTCTGTATATACAAACAGAGAATCGGGATGTTCTTCTTAATAACACAATTTCTGTTACACGAATGAAAAAATCAGATATGACATTAGTCAGCATAACAAGAAAAAGTTAAGCTTTAAACCAATTGAAAACATTTCCCGCGAATTTTAATCATTTTAATTGAATACTGATTACATTGGTCAGTGAAAAAAAAAGATTTAATATCTCGACAGATTTTCGACAGTGTCCGTAGCATGTACAAACAAAAGCGATATTATAAATTGAAATGTCTCGTTATTTGTATAAAGTTTAACAACACAATATAACACTAGTCTTATTTTTGTGGTATCCAAGCTCAGTACTAATTGATTTGCTATTATATTCGTTCATGTTGACACCTTGTTGACATCTGCTGACACGTATTAACACCATTTCAGCATATTTCATGATTGAAGGACCTTTTATTTCATTTCTCAGCTCAAAATAAATTATATGAATAATTTTGCTTTACAGCGACTTATAAACTATTGAAGGGTCGATTTTTGTGTGTGTAAAATATTAACCTAAAAGACTTGGCCACGTGTTCAGTAAGAAAAGATCAGGATCAGGATCAAGTGATTATGATTCTATTTGTCATTGTAATTTGTTTCTAAAATTAATCGTGGTTTGCTAGAATTAAAAGGTAACTATTCAAAATGTAAAACATTGCTGTTAGAAACATTGCAAAGAAACCGAAACCTTTTTTGATAAAATCAACAAATAACAAAACAATTACATACTGAAATATTCGGATCAAAATAAGGATCAATTTTAGGATCAGATCCAATATTTGGATCAACTTTAAAATGCCCGTATCTTGCAAAAAATAACATTAAATTTATTCTTAAAGTTCATAACCTTGCTATTGCAAGTCTGTTTTATCAAATTATTATTTAATTTAGATATTTAATCTATAAGGATTAACAATGAATAATATTAGAGTTTTTAATAGTTAACCTATCCTTGAATCTTTGTGACACGGGGCCTGAACATCAGAAGAATCATTATTGGTCTATACAAACTAAAATCTGAAAAAGTTCTAAAATAAAATGTAAAAGATAGTTCTTGCCCATATAAAATAAAATGTAAGGGGACGTTCTAAAATGATATGTACATGATAGTCCTTTACTTTGTAGTTTAATTTTTGAGATATTTCAGTTTTGTTTAAACATACTTCCTCCCACATAACATTTTACACTGCGTTAAAATTACAAATTCTAATGAACATTTTATTTGACATAAGGACGAACTCAATTTATTTTACACTAGAATTTACTGAGTTTTAAATTTTGTCAAATATAGCTATACCACCAATAACTTTCACATTCCTATTTGTTTAATCATGAAGATGAAAATATCGGAAAACACACCTGTCAGGTATGCTTCATTTATGATGTTCAATAAGAGCCCGATATAATTTATATAGTCCTTCTCCTATATTTTACATAATTGAAAAAGAGATGTATTATTATCATTAGCCTGCATTATATATTATCATATATAGTATGTTTGTAATACATGTATGTTGTCCTCATGTGCTTATTAGCCTATTGGAATATGAAATAAATAAATTCAATGTAAGATCGTTGATGTGTTCAATAGGTTTATTGCTTATAGTTTGCACATATTTTTGCATATTAATCAAGTATTTATAAATATAATTGCCTACCGACTGTGTAGAGTTGGTGTTAGAAATTTAGTTCACATACCGAAACACGACCGACTCATTTAGGAACACATACATTACACAGTGTTCCATTGTTTAAGATAAATAACTCAGTTATTTTTCTGTCAAATAAATAAAAAAATAAGTATCGAAAACCTAGAAATAAAATATACAAGGTAACCAGGTTTACTTCGGGCGAGTATCTTTTTTAAAGATACTTCTTGTTTAAGTTGCATTTTTGGCGAATATTATTAACTTATATTTAACATTATTATTTTCATCATTACGATATTTTATAGATATACTATGCTCAAATTTGATATCAGGAAATATTGGTAATTGCTACGCAGCCTCTTTGTGAATATAAAATAAACATGTTCTATTTTCGCAAAAAGTAAATATGTCATGTTTAAAACTGTACACACTATATTTGTTTTAAGAATATACCAACTTTACTTATCCTATAATCGAGAACGCGGCTTCCAATACATAGTGAATTCATTTTTTAATCAAATAAGCCATATAAGGTGAGGATTTCATAGGTTTTTACAATTTTTTTGATTAAAGTATATTACACATATATGAGCATAGTATATCTTGAAACGAGAGGAAATATTTAAAAGATGGTTATTAACTAGAACCAAACGTGCTACTTCTTTGTCTAAAGCCCAGTAAGGATTTTTTTCAAACATTGACTGTTAATCAACGTAAGGATAAATGAAAAGATTAAATCTCTGAAGCAAATATTTCAATTTTGTCAATAGTTCGCGCTGTTGTTTTGCATGAACGTTACCTAATTGCTGCAACAGTTTATGATAACCATATAAATTATGTGTTATTGGTGAAATAAATTCAATATCATTTCAGTAAATCAGCTAATAGTGTGGGTTTTGCCGAACGTCTTGTGGCTTACTATTAACTTATTATTCTGTAAATTTGAAAATGTACACAACAATGTATTTTATGGACTTCGTTCCGGTCTTAATTCATTTAGTGTACTAAAATATCATATGGTTGCATCGCAGTCTTGATCTTAGTTGTAATTCTTTTTTTGTTCAGCGCATATTGATCAGTTGAAATGAAGGGAAGATCTAAGATTTCATTCTTGTGTTTGCGCCGCGCATATTGATCAGTTGAATTGAAGGGATGATCTAAGATTTCATTCTTGTGTTTGCGCAGCACATATTGATCGATCAGTTGAATTGAAGGGAAGATCTAAGATTTCATTCTTGTGTTTGCGCCGCGCATATTGATCAGTTGAATTGAAGGGATGATCTAAGATTTCATTCTTGTGTTTGCGCAGCGCATATTGATCGATCAGTTGAATTGAAGGGAAGATCTAAGATTTCATTCTTGTGTTTGCACAGCGCATATTGATCAGTTGAATTGAAGGGAAGATCTAAGATTTCATTCTTGTGTTTGCTCAGCGCATATTGATCAGTTGAATTGAAGGGAAGATCTAAGATTTCATTATTGTGTTTGCTCAGCGCATATTGATCAGTTGAATTGAAGGGAAGATCTAAGGTTTCATTCTTGTGTTTGTGCAGTGCATATTGATCAGTTGAATTGAAGGGACGACTTGTGTTTGCGCAGCGCATATTGATCAGTTGAATTGAAGGTAAGATCTTAGGATTACTTCTTGTGTTTGTGCAGCGCATATTTAACAGTAACATTGCACTGATATCTAAAATTTAATTATTTTGTTTGCCTTGGGCATATTAAAAGGTTACGCAGCAGTGCTTATCTAAAATGTAAGTCCTTTGTTTGCGCAGCGCATATTAAAAAGTTTACCGCAGTGCTGACCTAAGCTGTAATTCGTTTGTTTGTGCGGCGCATATTTTACAGTTACATTGCAGTGATGATTTGTTTGCGCACGGGACAGTGTTGATCTAAAATGTAATTCTTTTGTTTGCGCTGCGCATGTGAAAAGTGACACCGAAGTTCTGATTTAAGCTGTAATTCATTCATATGCGCAGTGCATATTAAAAGTTACACAGCAGTGCCGATCTAAACTGTGTTTCTTTTATAAGCGCAGCGTAATTTAAAAGTTACACCGCATTGCTAAAGCTTTTCTGTTTTTTCTTGTATACGTGTAGTCGTCGAACGTCTGATGTCATTTTTCTTAATTTACGTTTATTTTTCATGCTTAAAAAACAAGAAGATAAATCTGTTGCTTTGAGTAAACATGCTTTATATCACACATTTAGGTGATAAAACATCTCTATGTCAGGAGTGCTATGCTTGTGAAAATATTCTAAGCGCTTTGCCGTGGAACGGAAGTTTATCTTTCTATCTTAAATATATTTAAGGATAATTAATTTTTAAGAATAATGCTCCCGATCAGCTTAACTTCATTGATGATTTTCTAGAACGCATGTGCATCGATTTCATTATAAAATTATGCAAGAGATTGGGATAAAAGTCAAGTGGTCCGAAACGTTTGAGACGGTGATCCTCTATTTTAGTTTTATCTAGACCGAGTTTACTATCCAGAGGACGTTTATTGAACAAACAACAAAATTGCATTCAGGAATTATTTTGTGCGCCGCTTTTAAGTCGAAAAATGTGGTTAAACGGAACTTGAAATTGTCAAATAAATGTTACATCAGCAACAAAAAAAATGATTTACCTTAAATAAGATTAATGTTAAGATAAAATGTAAGCCGGTAGCGTTGTAATACCCGTCAAAGTTGTCAAGTTTACGCAACGACGTCATATTTTAAAAACAGATAAAGTGGTCAACTTTGACATTCTGTGTACACAACATGACGGAAAATATTATAAACGAAACATTAATTTAACCGAATAAGGTCATAAAAAGGAATCATCACCTGTCAGGCAAGTACGCGCTTATATTTATTACTCTTCAATTGAAACATACTTAAGAAGACGCTTACAGCCTGTTAATTTTTTATGTTTTATTCTCATTTTCAGAACAAAGTGACTGTCTCTCACTTTTTAAAAAAGGATCGACAGAAGATGGTTTATATGCAATACAACCTCTCATAGGTTTAAACATACAGACATGGTGCGATATGAAAAATGGTGGATGGACAGTTATACAACGTCGAGTGGATGGGTCAGAAAACTTCTACAGAACATGGACGGATTATGTTTGTGGATTCGGTAACAGATCAGGAGAGTACTGGCTTGGCCTTGAGAATATATATTGGCTTACTACTATAGACAGTTCTTTGAGAATTGAAATGGAAGCGTTTGAAGACGTGTCAACTACACTTGCTGATGTGTCACTGACCCATGCTTATGCACAGTATAACACGTTCAGAGTCGACGACGAAGATTCGAATTTCAGATTGCATGTAAACGGCTTCTCCGGAAACTGCGGTGATAGTCTTAGATACCATGATGGTAATATGTTTATTACTAAAGACAGGGATAACGACGAATCAGAAGTCAACTGCGCTCAAAAGTTTAAAGGAGCATGGTGGTATAAAAAATGTCATGCTAGCAATTTGAATGGACTATACTTATCGGGGAATCACCCGACGTATGCTGATGGTATTAACTGGATCACGTGTTGGGGTCATCATTATTCTATCCGCAGTGTAGTGATTAAGGTGAAAAGAAATTTTCCGTAAAGCAAAACAACGGACAATACTATATTTTACTTAGATTTAACATGATTATTAAGAAACAATACTGGAAAGAAAGAAAAAAACACACAAAAAGCAGCTAAACATTATTTAACAAAAGAAATGATATGGTTGGATACGACTATTAGTTCGACTATTTATAATGTTAATTATTTAAAGTGTAGCAAAATTGTTTAGTTGTACTGACTATAATTGTTTCATTTCCACAGACTGATATAGTTCAGCTGATACAATGGTTGAGCTGAAAATAATGAACATCTATTAACAGTTTCCATTTCATAAATAATCATTCAGTCAATCATTCTGGAATAAAGTGAATAACTAAAATTAATTTTACGATAGTTCTTATGAAAGTCATTATATACATAACAGACATGACAAATTTAGCCTTAAATTTTCAACCATTCTATATGCTTAAATGTATGCATTTAAACATTAGTGTAAGTTTGTATTTGTCTTTTAAAATGCTACCAAGAAAAAGGATAATAATAATTATAATAATAATAATAATGACAATAATAATAATGACAATAATAATAATTATAATAATGATAATATGTGTAAGTGGTTTCTCTGGAAATAGTCGAGATAGCCTTTCTTTTCAAGATGGATGTGTGTTTACGGCCAAAGTCAGGGAAAACGACGACATTTTTGGCAATTGTGCTCATCTGTTCGAAGGTGTGTGGTAGTATTAAAACATGCCATTAGAAGTAATTTGAAAGGACTTTTTTTATCAGAAAATCACTCTATGCTTGCTAATATAAATTAAAGGGGAAAGCTAAACACTAAAATACCATTTAAAATCAACAGAAAGCCTCCAGTGTATTTGATATTATCAGAAAGTCATTAGATTTTTAATTAGAAGTCATTCTCGATTTTTACTTTAAATAATTGTTCAATTGTTTCACTGGAAAGAAATTATGTAAGTTAAAACAAGGTTACGTATGAAAATTCGAAGTAAATAACATACTTAAAAATGACCAGTTTATGTAATTTTTATATTTGATCTCTCAATATAATATAGCACTGTATATCAGAATGATTGTTTGAAATGATAAGTCCTCTTTGGAGAGTGTCATTGTTTTTTTACTATTTTTCACTCAGTTTTCAACAAGCTGAAATGCTGTAAATATTTTGTAGACAGCAATTTGATGTAAGAGACTAGACGTTTTGTTTGAACAAACATTTGGAAAACATATTTGTTGAACTTTGTTATGTTAATGCAGTGAAGTGTTTGATACTTTGAAGAATTAAAAAAAGAAAAATCACTTATTTGATCCTTGAATTTAATTAAAATTATTAGATTGGAGATAAAAAAAACCATCTCATACAACAGTTATAAATAAGTACCTAGAACAATTGTGGCAGCATATTAGATGGAATGTAAAATGTTTATAAGGGTATTGCAATTCTCTGTAGAAAGCTATAAAACAGAATCATGACATTAAAGGAAGTATATCGAACAGTTGACTATAACCTTCATTTCAATAAAGGGTTAAAGGAAAACTGATTACATAGATTGTTAATCAGTATAAGGACCACTTCAAAAATGTTTGTAACAAAATTAATGTTATAATGCTGAGTTTATAATTATGTACTTTTTTAGTGTTGTTCTCAAAATGGTCAGATGAAAATAATGTTAATTATGTTGTCTCTTCGTAAAAGGAAAGACATCTTTAATTTTACATAAACAAGGCGGTATGATTGTACACTTAAATATCTACAATTGAAATCCACTGAATCCTTGCATTTTAAAAGATATCAATGTCTTAAAGTTTAACTGTATCCGAATTTATGCACCGAATCGTAACTGTTGTACAGTTTTTTACTTGTTTTTCTTCCTCTTCTTCTTTTATTGTCAAACAATTGTTATTTCACCGAATGAAAATATATAAAGGTACAAAGATCTAAACATTTTATTTTTTTAAATGCACTTGTATTATAAACAACGTCAAGTCTTTTTATACATTTATTTTGACGTTGATTGCTTAATGTATTCATTTTAATTGCTCATATGTCATGTCATCTTGCTAGATTTGATTTGCCTTAAACGATTTAGCAACGTTTTAATTTAAGACGATGTATTAACGAAAATCTTCTAGTTATTCATTCATGTGAATGTATCCAATATTACAACATATGTTAAAGTCGATGTTATGTTTAGTTTATACTAATTTTATTTTAGTTTGATTGTGTTGTGTTGGAAGCTCTAAGCATATTGAAACACTCTCAATTTTTTCCTTGAAGCAACCAGTTCTAATAAGTTTCTTGCTAACCGAAACAAAAGCTTGCCCCTGACCAGGTTTGAATCCACGCGGCCAGCAATTCTCAGATTACTAGTCCGACGCGTTACCACTCGGCCATGCCGCCACTCTAAATATTTTGCTTAAAAAGTTAAATGTTTTGTAAATGTCTACACATTTTATTTTCATTTCTGTTTCGAAAAGATTCACATTATCACCAGAAGCACTTGCGCAATAATATTTTGTTTATAGGAATTGTACATAGAGCATAATTAATTAAGCAGATTATAAAAATATTCTGGATTTTATTTACTAATATAAATATATTTTTCGAGAGGTTTAGTAAATAACTTAAAATTAGAATTTGACAAAAGTTAGTAATGTGCATACCAGAGTCCGAGAATGGTTAAGTAAATTGGTCCTTATTTGTTTATATTTGTTTTTATTTCTTAGCAATGTCAACTGACCTGTTCTCTCTGCCTTGTGTGCTACTCACCTTTGCCCAATATTTGTTCGGTGAACAAGTGTGCCAAACGTTATTTAGGGCTGCGTTCTGTGAAAGGCTCTCTTTTCTTTTATTGATATATAATTTGGTTCTGTTGTAGACGGTATATATGTCCTTCGTTTTCCTATTTGCCAAATATTTAACTCCCTCCCCCCCCCCTTTGTCTCCCAGCTTTCCCTACACACGAGTCGCAGTGACAGCGACCCTTTTAAATGTTTCTCGTATGATTTCAATTACTGTTTTAAAAAATAACGCCCCGTTTTTGCTTTTGTTGTGTGGTAGCTCCTGTGAATATTTCTGTGTGAATTTATTATATTTTGATAGTTTATAAAAAAGTTTAAAACCATGAATGTCGACCAGATTGATTTGAACTTTTAAATTAAAATAATGTTAAGTAGATCAATATCAGTTATCTAAAAATATAGATTATTGATTATTATAATGTTAATATACGTATTTCAATTAAAATTTGTGATCATTGAATTCTTTTCTTTGAATTTTTTGTTTCGTTAATTTGTTATTCCGTGTGCAAGAATTGTGTGTAACTCCTTTAATATAATTATTGTACCTGTTAGTTAGAAACATAATAAATGGCATTATTCCAGAAAGAATAGTGATTGTTCGTTATGTTAAGAATAAGTGTATAAAATGATTGATTATTAAAACGAAGGTGTTGGAAATATGGAATCCGCCTTTTCCCTTATTTAACTATACTTTGTAGCTATATAATTCCATCCCATCAATTTTTCAAACGATTGCTTAAATCAAATAGATACAATTCCATTGATCAGGATGTCCTGAAATTTTCATAAAGGAGAGATTACTCTTCTAAATTTAGTGTATCGTGGACATGTTCATAATAGTTTTTGTTTGTGAAAATGGTTTGAAGATATTCACCATCCTATTAAAGGTCTGTTATGAAATGTATTTGCTTTTGTCTCAAATCATTTTTGGTAAATTTTATACTGTATAGATGTCTGATAAGGTACATTGTTTATGAAGAATAACAAAATGCACTGAAATCTTCATAAAAATAAAGTGCAATCTATACTAAAATTAAAATTGTTCTATATAACATAAATTATTCATAATTCAAAAGAATTTTTTATTTAAAAAAAACAACATGTATCAGATATCCTATGAAACCTTTTATCTGTTGACCGTACAAAAATTTGAATTGAATGGTATGGATGAAGTTTCTATTATCACCTAATATAGCGGCACAATTGAATTATCACCTAAGATAAGAGAACCTCTGTACAACAACAACAACAACAAAATACTTCATTTGTTAGCACATAAATTCAAAGTAAGACTAATTGTTCCAATTCCTCGAAGCGTGAATTGAGTATCCCTTTTTTTGGGAATAGGACATTTATTAATCTTATAATAGTTAACTTTATAACTTATAAAGACTTTATAACTTATAAAGACTTTATAAATTATAAAGTTATAAGCTACATTGTTATAATAACAGATATCAATGTTTCATAACTTAACAGATTCTAGTTTCCATCTTTGTATTATAACCTGTTACTTCTTGCTGTTAACTGAATTGACGTCCAACGCCTTATGCTAGAAATTTTGAAACTTTCGTTTCTCAATGTACAAGCCTTATGATGGCAGTTTAATATTACACTTTCATACTAAACATTATTTATCGAAAAATTTAAGAAGAAAAATTCTAGCTTGTTTCATTGGAGAACAGGAATGATTAAAAATGCCACCGAATTGCTTTTGCTTAATGTTTTGAAACCCTTGTTTTGTTTGGATTTTAGTCACAGCGACCCTGTTATGATCAGCTGGCGACTTTTCAGCTTCACTTGTGGAGTAAACCCTTGGTGGCCACTCCTTGCCAACTTACGCAGTGATTTCCCCTAATCAGTATAGCAATCTCTGCCACCACACATATTTTGTAACAATATTTTGTTATTTTATATCTTTTAGTTTTTGAATTTAATTTTTCATTATTTTGTATACTTTTGATAATCGCTTTAAATCAATGCTTTTGTCAATTATTTAACAGGATAGAGAATATTGGTTCTTGTTATTAATGTTAATATACGTGCTCCAATTCAAATTTTGTGATAACAATAAATTCCTATTGTTTTGAATTTGGGTTGTTTGCGTTAATTTGATTACTCCAATGTGCGATAATTCGTTTGGTAAATCCTTTTACAATACTTAACCTATTTTTTTAAGTCAAAGACATAATAAATGGCATTATTCCAAAAAGCATTTTGATTGTACGATATGTTAAGAATAAAATATTTATAAAATTGTTGAAACCAATAATTAGAAATTTGGAATTCACTTTTCCCTTATTTTACGATAAATTTTAGCTACGTAATTCCATCCCATCAATTTTCATGGCAAACGATTGCTTAAATCAATTAGATACGACGAAACCATTCAATTGATTAGAATGTCCTGAAATTTTCATAAGGAAGGGGTTACCTGTCCAAATTCAGTGTATCAAGAGGATGTTCCTAATTGATTTTGTTTGCTAAAATAGTTTGAAGATATTTACCATCGTATGAAAGGTCTGATATTTCCCCTAATCAGTATAGCAATCTCTGCCACCACACATATTTTTTAAACAATATTTTGTTATTTTATATTTTTTAGTTCATGAATTCATTTTTTCAATATTTTGTATACTTTTGATATTTAGATAAACTATAAAGAACGTAGGTACGAAAAGTTAAAAATAAAACAGAAAG